GACATATATAGGAGAGAAGAAACAAGAAAATCTTTAAAAGTAACTATATCCCATATCATGGATGAGTAGCAGTTGAAGCTATCGATGAGTGTGGAGACTGGAGAGTATATAAAAACTAGTCATCTATACATGGTTGAGAGTCATCCAGAAAACTCGAAATTTCTCATCAAATGGATTCACCGTGAAATAGGAGCAGTGAAGATTAACTTTGACGCTTCGTAGAGGACTGATGGTAAAACTGTAATTGGAGTCATTATGAGAGATGTATTTGGGAGGACAAAATGGCTTAGTTATTGGTGTATGTTCAATCAATGGAGTGGAGGCTTGGGTGGCTCTAGAAGCCTAAAGTGACAATTCAATATCTAAACTTTCAAAATATAACAATTAAGTACTCAAACTTTCAAAATGTGACAATCCAATATATGCCATTAATTAATTCATTAATCGGCCGTTAAGTGACATTTGAAAAGTTAAAAATGTCATTCGAATGTCATCTAGTTCTCTTTATCATCCATCCAAACATTGACAATAAAATGAACAGTCCCAAATTCTAGATTCTTCTAAACAGTCACCAACTTTTTTTGAATAGAAGAGGCTAAGATTTGGGATTGTTCAGTTTTTTTGTCAATGTTTGGATGGTTGTTAAAGAGAATTAGATAGCATTCGAAAGGCATTTTTGACTTTTCAAATGTCACTTAACGGCGGATTAACAGTATGGTTAACGGCAGGTACTGAATTGTCACATTTTAAAAGTTCGGGTACTGAATTGTCGCATTTTAAAGTTCGGGGACCAAATTGTCACTCAAGCCAAAGCATAAGATATTGATTAAGAATTTTTCCTTTTTTGATGAAAAATAAAAGCCCCGAGGGGGTAGCACATCCCAAGAATCAGCAAAACAAATTAGAGAGAGATTTGAAGGGAGGCTACATGGATTCAAATTAAGAAAATCCAAACTATTCTCCAAAGCTAGATGAGTGAGGAGGTTCGTCGCTAGATTTGCTTTCCGATAGACATGCTGTTATGAGATCTTCAGATTGAACTAGTCCACAAGTTCAAAAACAACTTGAAATTAAACTCCTTAATCACCATTACAGCATGGTGCTTTGCTGAAGGCAGGAGACGACCAACTTTGAGTCTCCTTCAGTGATGATGAAGCAACTGAACAATTGCCTCTCATGCATGAGGCATTGAAATTTATTTTAATGAATCCCTCCTTAGGACATTTCCAGAGAACGTATTTCCAAGACGTGCTTAGGATTTTACTTTACTTCCTCGTTATGTTGTTCCAGAATTCAGAACAACGCGCAAAGGCTCTGACGCCTTGTCGATTATTACATCAGGTGTAAGGGTGTTAATGGTATTCGAAAATCCGATTTTGAATTTGAGATTCAACATCGAATTGGATTCGGATAATTCGAATATTTAATCGGTTAAATTTGGATATTCTATTCATACCGAATAGGTAATCGGATTTGAATTAGGATACTTTCTGATTTGATTTGATAAATATTCGAATTCGACTGATTATTTAATTCTTATATATAATATATAAAATATTTAAATGTTTAATATAATTTATATATATAATAATTAAATTATATGAATAATTTATATATTTATATACTTTATATAAATAAAATATTTATTTTATATATTTATTAATTACCAAAAATAATTAATTAATCAAATCGAATCGAATATTCAAATATTTAATCAGATTCGAATTCGGATATTAATTTTCAAAATCCTTCGGATATCAAATTTTCTAATCTGATTCGAATTCAAATATTGTTTGATCCTATTTGAATTTGATCCGTTTGCACCCCTAATGGAGAGGTTTTGAAGTGTTACCAAAGGTTTTTTTATTCATGTTTTTCCAAATAACCCATAGAATAAAGGCATTCTTTTCGAGAGCTTGATTCTTAATGCAAACTTGGTACCCATTTAAGCTACACCACCATTCCCAAACACTAGATTCTGAAGTAGTGGGACTTTTAATCTCTGAGGGAACCAACCGCAATATTTGTTTAACAATCTTATACCTTCCAAATAGGCCGACTTAGATGTAAAGCATGGTTTTCAAAACCGGATTCGGCCGGATGGTCGGACTGGAAACATCGGGAACTGGTCAGGTGACTAGTTCCATTTTACTTCAGAACCGTTATTTTGCCAAAAAGTGCTTATTTGGTCAGTAAATTAGAATTAACCATCCATTCGTTTCGAAAGGTCAAATCGTTCGACCTAAAAACCAAACCCCTGACCAGTTTATTGTCCGATTCAGTTTTAAAAACCTTGGCGTAAAGTTACGGCTAGGACTGAGCCTCCAAATCACTTTGTCTTTAACAGAATTAGCTTGGATGAAGATAGTTTTAATCGAGCGCCATACTTGGGTGGGGACTAGAAGCGGATGGTGCCCTCTTTCCAGCACCCCCTTTCATGGTCACTAACATCAGCAACTCTCAAGTTAGAGTTCTAAACATCATTCCTTCGACTTGTTTTATACAATGGGCTTTCATTGGCCCAATTGTCTTTCCAAAAGCTGATATCCTCCCCATTCTCAACTATCCAACCAGTTATCTTTTTTAACAAATCCCTAGCTGAAAGGACACCTCTCCAGGCCCAAGAAATGCTTTTCTTGGCCTTAACATTCTAAAAATCCTCAATTTTCAAATATTTATCCTTTACAATTATTGCCCACAAATTGTTTTGCACATAATGAATTTTCCAACTTATTTTAGCCAAACTAGCTTCATTCCTCCATTGCAAGTTTCTAAGGCCCATATCACCCCATTTTTTGGGTACAAACCCTTTTCCAATTGATGAGGTGTATTGGCTTCTTACACTTTGAATTGGTCCACAAGAACCATTTCTTAATCCTATTAACATCTTCAATAACATTACTAGGAATTTTGAAAGATCTCATAATGAATTGAGGCATTGCAGTTATGGTTGAGCTGATCAAAGTTAGCCTACCAGCAAGCGAAAGGGAGTTTATTCCAACTTGAAAGCTTTGAAATGATTTTCTCATTTAAATTTTTAAAAGATTCCTTTGTGACCCTGCCATTAGTCACAGGGGCCCCCAGATTCTAGAGAGAATTTTTAGGAGTTTAGAAGGAATATTCTTGAAGAAGCAGACCACTGAATTTGCATAATTTGGAAATTGCTCGAAAACTCTTGCAAAACTAGAAAGAATCCCTTTGATTTTAATACAGTCCGAAATGGTTGATTTAGAGAAAATGAGACAATCATCTGCAAATTGAAGTATAGGGATAGAGGGACTTACCTTATAAATTTTATTAGCCTATGGGGTTGCCCAACTCTTCTGGCTCTCTAATCAGCTTCCTAGTGAGAGCCTCTGTTAGTATTCTAAGATCGCATTTGGCATTCCTTATTTTTTGGATAAATCAATACCTTGTATTTCGCAATGGTGAAAAATAGGTACCTTGAACTTTTAAAAACAAGCACATGAGTCCATCCATTAGTATTCCGTCAGTTAAACATCACATAATGTCAAAAATACCCTTTTCATGTATTTTTGAGATCATTCTCATGTAACCAAATCTCCTGACAATCACATTCTCACATCGATAACAAATAACATATTCAAATTTTCTTACGATGGCATTCATTGGTAATGATTTTACATTGTAGAATGATCTAAAAAATACACACAAAAGGTATTTTTGACATTATGTAATATTTAACTGATGGAATACTAACAGATGGACCTAAATGTTTATTTTTGAAAGTTTAGGATTCTCAAGTGTTGCAATTGAAAGTTGAGTACCTATCTATCACCACCCAAAGAGACAAGTCCTTAAAGTAAGCAATGTCAGCATAAAGGCGTGACTAGGGCGTAAATGGATTGAATTCGAACGAATGAGGCAATACCTAAATTTGAATCAAATTAGAAAATCTGATATCCGACGGATATTGAAAATTAATATCCACATTCGAATCTGATTAAATATTCGAATATTAGATTCGATTCGAATTCGATTAATTAATTATTTTAGATAATTAATAAATATATAAAATAAATATTTTATTGATATAAAGTATATAGATATATAAATTATTTATATAACTTAATTATTATGCATAAATTATATAAATTATTTTATATATTATATATAAAATTAAATAATCGATTGAATTCAGATATTTATCGAATCGAATCAGGTCATATCCGAAATCGAATTTGATTAACTATTCGATAAAAATAAAATATCCGAATTCAACTGATTAGATATCGAAATTATCCGAATTCAATTCGATTATGTCAAATATCAAATTTGAAATTAGATTTTTGAATACGGTTGATACCCCTAAGCGTGCTGAATTCCTCACGGCTGGATACCATGTTTTGTTCGCACACCTTTTTGCTTTCCGAAGGTATCTCCTACCCACACAGTCTTCTCACAGCCCTAGACACTGTAGGTGAGTATTAGACCTGTTCATGGGCCGGGCCGGGCCGGGCTTTTATTCATCATTAATGGAAATACGCTAGGCTCGAGCCCGAGCCCGACCCGACCAACGGGCCTTTAACTTGGGCTCGAGCCCGGCCCTGATAAAAAGCCCGAAGCCCGACCTAATAAAAAAATTACAATTTTCCCTATTCAAATTAGAATTAAAAAGTCAGATGTTTTTTTTTCCTATTTAAATGAACAATGGGCCTACAAGATGGTTTTTTTCCCTTTCTTTTACGTTTTAAAAAACAGTTTTACATTCTTAAATAAAAAAATTTATTCAAATGAACATTAATCACATAACCCATTTTAAGTCTAATTTTAGGTCGGTCCGGGCCGGGCTATTTTGACAAAACCCAAACCCAGTTCGAACTTATTGCGGACCGGGCTTTTTGGCCCGAGTTTAAGCCTGCGGGCCTATAAGGATGTTCAAGCCCGTCCGGGGGCCGGCCCGGCGGGCCACCCGGCCGATGAAGAGGTCTAGTGAGCATTGTAAATATCACTCTTCTCATCAATGCAGAGTTGTTCCAACTACACGGCGGTAGTGTCCTGTGGGCAGGGATTTGAGAAAAAGTTTGTACTTTGTAGGTCTCCTTTTATCGTTAATCGTTTTAAAACCCTACACACTCTTTCATCGTCTCTCTTGGAGCCTTGGGACTTAGGTTTATCAAACGATCAATTCTTTAAAGTTGCCGGCAAACTATCATCAACAGGAAACCCTCGAGGATTTTCCAAAATTTCAACAAAGAATGGTTGAAGAAGCAGGGACGGAAGCTCTAGTTGATGAAGATTTCCCTCTTTTCTCCCGAAATTTCACCCCCAAATCCTCTAAACAACAACCCTCTTCTGTCACCGAAAACCCTCAACTTCATTCTCACAAACTAGAGAAATCAACAAATCCCCAAAGCACTTCCTGCAGTTTCTCCGATCTGGGTCTTGCCGAATGGGCTGTTCAGACCTGCAAGGAGCTCGGGATGAAGAAACCGACTCCAGTTCAACAACACTGCATTCCTCGAATTCTCGCTGGGGAGGATGTTCTGGGTTTAGCACAGACTGGTAGTGGAAAGACGGCAGCTTTTGCATTGCCGATACTGCATCGGCTTGGAGAGGATCCGTATGGCGTGTTTGCATTGGTGCTGACGCCGACGAGGGAGCTGGCGTACCAGTTAGCCGAGCAATTTAGAGCTCTTGGGTCGTGCTTGCACCTCCGTTGTTCTGTGGTAGTTGGTGGAATGGACATGCTTAATCAGGCGCAGAAGCTGATGCAGCGGCCACATGTCGTGATTGCGACGCCGGGGAGGATTAAAGTCCTGCTTGAGGAGAATTCGGATCTTCCTGCAGTGTTCTCCAAGACCAAGGTAATGAATTGTTCTTAACTTTCTTTGCTTTCTTTAGCAGTTAATAGTTCATTGAAGGTATTATAGAAATCTTTGAATGTTTGCTTCTATTTTGATTTTCCTCAGTTTCTAGTTTTGGACGAGGCAGATAGAGTTTTGGATGTCGGTTTTGAAGAAGAATTGAAAGTGGTATTCCAATGCTTGCCCAAAGCTCGGCAGACGCTCCTGTTTTCTGCAACAATGACTAGCAACTTAGAAACATTACTGGAGGTTTCTGCAAATAAGGCATATTTTTATGAGGCATATGAGGGTTTTAAGACGGTTGAATCTCTCAAACAACAGTACTTATTTATGCCCAAAAATGTGAAAGATGTTTATCTCCTGCACATTTTGTCAAAAATGGAGGAGATGGGTATCCGTTCCGCCATCATATTTGTTTCCACCTGCAGGTACTACTAATCTTTTATAGTTTAATATTAATATTAATGCTAGTTCTAGTTTCTGCTGCTGTTGCTGTTGTTGTCATTGTTTAAACATTTTGTTCTACCATTTATGTTGTCTAAATCATGTCTTAATGCTTATAATGATAAATCTTATTTGTGGCTCTTGATATGATTGAATATTACACCTAGGTTTTTCCACCTTCGCCTTCCATTCTGGGGGCCATTATTTTACTCTTTTGGAGGATAAGTTGGTCCTTGGCAAGAACTCTAACTTCATGCATTAGTGATGTACTTTCATGTTTTATACCCATTGACATGTTGTTTAATGATGTGAACAAGTTCACCACGAAGACATGGAATAAGATAGTCTCTATATACATGAGGAGAACATGATAACAAACTGCTTCTATGATTATTAGCTTCATGCCATGCAATCTTAGTATCCCCAAAAACAAAGGACTCTAGACAACACTTAATCTGCAGAATTTGTACTCATACTTTCCATAACAATGTCTTCAATGATCTTACTCAAATTGGAGTAGATTACCACTTCCTAATGTTATGCTTTTTTCCAGATGAAACAATTCAGAATGGTTTTTCAGCCTGTATGTATTCTGATTTCTGAAAACTCTCCCATTTAATTCTTGGAGATATAATTTGCAGTTTTCAGCTTCTTTATCTACTAGTAACAGTTTTTCTGTTGGTTCTGGAAATTGCAAGAAAGACAGAAACCTGAAATGTACCACCTGTGTATTGGTAACTGTAAAAAAGGGAAAATTTTATAGTATGTCTAGTTTAGAAAGAAAAAGGAAGCTGTAAACAGAAATAGGAAGTGCAGTATCATGACACCAGTATGACTTGTGTGTATGTGTGAGAGGGGAGGTTCCTTTATTATGTCAAGAAAGTGGTTGCCATCATTTAAGGGCCGTTACCCAATATTGGTCTCCCATCTGTCCAGTATCTAGGGATGGATTGGATACAGATGATAACCTTGGCATTTTCTTGCATGAAGTGACTGCTCCCAGACCCAAACCTGCATACTCACATTTGTCAGCCCAAGATATTACTATTTGCTTGGTGCAATGGCCCCTTATGTCACCATATATAAAGTAATCACACCTCGCAAATTTCAGATGATGTATTGGATGCTTGGGATGCATGTTATATTCTTTAATATTAACTTCATGTTATCATGCCAATGACCCAGTAGTCAAGATGGTCACTTGGTGTCACTCCAAGAGAGGAAACTTGTGGGCAATCCTGTGGAACTGTAGGCTCTCTCTGGCATGACCAATAGGCCTCATGTGCACACTGTTCTGTCCCCAACCAAATTCCTATAATTTGTACTGACTCAACTATTTTAATACCAAAAACAGGTCACCATAAATCCTGCTGCCGGGCTGACTTTTAGATTGAATAATTGAATGGACACAATTCTGGAATTTGCTCAGTGGTTGAGGCAGAATAAAGACACAATAAAAGTAGGCAGTATAATTGGTGAAAATAGAAGAATCTATTTGCTCAAAACATCTATTTTTGCCTTTGTTTTTGTGATAAACAGGATTGCAGTTAATTTGGTCAGGGCAATAAAAATTAGTGATAGAGTTTTAAATTGTGAAATAGTTTTAATGATAAATTTCAATTCATCATTATAATGTGTAACCAGGAGTTGTCACCTACTGAGTTTATTATTGGAAGAGCTTGAAAAGACAGCTTCAGCTTTGCATTCATTCAAGTCGCAGTCTCTAAGGCTTGCTGCACTACATAAATTCAAGTCTGGTCAGGTTCCTATTTTGCTGGCAACAGATGTAGCTAGCCGTGGTTTGGACATTCCAACAGTTGATCTTGTTATCAACTATGATATTCCAAGGTTTTATCTTCTAATAGGCCTTTTTTTTAGTTAAAAAATTCTTTGTAAAGATGATTCTGTGATAGAACTTGTTCTTCTTTTTACTACAGGTATCCACGGGACTACATTCATCGTGTGGGACGTACTGCAAGAGCTGGCAGAGGTGGGCTAGCTGTAAGCTTTATTACTCAGGTTTGTAGAAAGAAGATGCCTGATTATATCTTTTGATGCATCCAAACATGGGAGAAGTTCCTTTTAGTATTTTTTTAGGCATTGTAAAATATGAAGAGCATTATAAGAATAAAGAGTTTTATACATTAGGGGGAAGTAAAATGGTACTTCATAGTAGTATTTGTGGATATGGGTGTACTAATATTTGCATAATTAGTATCTCACTTTTGAGACCTCTAATTTGCAGAGCGACATAGAACTTATTCATGAAATAGAGGCCGTCATTGGTAAACAACTGGAGCTGCTTGAATGTAAAGAGAATGAAGTGCTTGCTAATATCACAGAGGTAAGATCTTTACTGGATGGTAGCTAAAATATTTTCTGGAGAGTTGTTAGGTGATATTGATAAATCTTGGTCTGACTTGATTCTCTCTCTCGATCTCTTGATGAATCATGTTTTCATTAATTGTGTAACATCAAGAATATAAAGGTACAGCCCATTTATGGTAAGTAAATATGCAATGAGAAAAATATAACTTGATACATATAAACAAACTTAAAAACGTACACCAAATCAGTGATTTAAAAGGTGCGCCTAGGCGCACAGGCGAGGTGCATTTTAGGGTATGTGCCTCACCCAAGTCCTAGGTGCACCCCTTTCAAAAGGCACACGCCTGATTCAGTGATTTAAAAGGCGTGCCTAGGCACAACCCTTTCAAAAGGCGCATGCCTGGTGCCCTAGGTGTGCGCTTGATGTGCCTTGCACCTCAGCCCAGGCGTGCACCTTTTGAAAATTTCACGCTTTTTTGCTGCTTTTGAACCTAGCGGCTGGGCTGGGGGCTTTGCCCCCAGACTCCCATGCCACACTCCTCAAGGTAACGAGAACCCCCTATTTGCTAATGTTGTTCATTCATTCATTCATTGTAATAAAATATTTTCTTAAAAGGCAATTAAAGTTACAAAATCATTATTTATGGTGTGAAAACTAAGAATTTAAGACCCTAACACGGACTTGTTTGAGCTTGCTTCGAGGGGTGTGGTACAAAGGCGACTCAGAATAAAAAATGCAATATGATTTACATCACATTAGCTACTTGAAGTAATGCAATTAAGGAAAAAAGAGATTGTGGGTTTTACATGCTTAAAAAATGCTTTATATGTTTGCTTTTATTTTTAAAATTTCACTTGAATACGCTTTACATGTTATGTTTATGTATTTAATTTTAGATAATAAGTTTTTTAAAACATTTATTTTAAAATTTAAGTTTATATTTTTTATTAACATTGTGCTTTTTTTTTGCTTATTTTGTTTTTAATTTTTTTGCTTTTTTTTAATTTTCTGACATTTTTTTTTTATTTTTTTAGCGCTTTTTTTGGTATTTTTGTGCCTTTCTTCAAAAAGGCACGCGCCTCATCTTGTGCCTTGCACCTCAGGCGCAAATTGGCCCTTGCGCTTTTAAAACACTGCACCAAATACCAATAAAAAAGCCTTAAGGAAATGCATAAACAAGAAAAAAATGATAGAAGAATGCATGAACTATAAACAAATTAAAAGAAACATGCCATTCTCCTTGCAAAAAAAGAGGATCATAAATTAAATTTGATTGTTGCTCCACTCTGTTGAAGCCCATATGTATTGATAATTTGATATCCAAGAGTGCTTTGTAGCCACAATCTTCTGAAAACCAAGCCCTATGGTCAAGGCCTTTAATATGTAAGTATCCATAAATTAAATTCCTCTAATATGTCCGGCTGTTAGCATATCTATCGTTGAGCTTGGGAACACCAACTGATCGAAGATAGATTGAGTAAATAACCCTGAATTATATAGACAAAGGGACAATGCAGGAATAAATTATTTGCTGACTTGTTTGATTTTAGCAAAGCACAACATTGGTGGTCCGAATCTCCATTCCTTTCCTAATCGGATAGTCCCTGGCGAGGCATTTTCCCAGTGCAAGTATCTACTCTATAAAAGCAACTTTAGAGAGGAAGTCTGATGCTAAGCACCCAAAGGATTACAGATCTATTAGTTTAGTGACTAGTATTTATAAAATTCTAGTATCTAGCTGAAGTCTTGCCATTGAGAATTACAGTACTCCCTTATATAATCAGCCCATTTCAAGGGTCCTTTTTACAAGGCAGACAAATAACTGACCAAATTTTGATATCCAATGAATGCGTGGAAGAGATGAGGAGATCTAGGTGGGAAGGTTTTGTTTGTAAATTGGATATGTAGAAAGCCTATGACTTGGTGGTCCTTCCTAGAAGAGGTGATGAGAATGTATGGTTTTGGGGAGAGGGTGCAATTGGGTGATTTGCTGCCTTTTCTCTTGTCACTATTCTGTTTTGGTTAATGGAGTGGTTAAGGATTCCTTTCCAGCTTGTAGAGGCTTAAGGCAAGGTGACCCTCTTTTACCTTTCTTTTTCACTTTGGTAGCTGATATGCTTAGTAGATTAATCCTTAAAGCAGATAGGGAAGATGAGATAAGGGGTTGGAGAGTAGGGCAGTAGGCAGAAACAATGTTCCGGTTACCCACCTTTCAGTCTGCAGATGATAACATAATATCTTGGGGGGTGGGGAGAGATATTAGGAAGGCAAGTGAATTAAAGGAATTGATAAAAAAGTTCAAATTGATATCTTATCTGAAATCAACTTTGAAAAGAGTTGCATTGCGGGAATCAATATGGAGGAGTGTGAGATCTGTAAACCTGTTTCTCAAGGTAGGTTGGGGATCAGAAAGGTGAAGTTGTTTAACTTGGCACTTTTGGGGAGATGGTTCTGGAGATTTTTTAATGAACCACTCAACCATAGGAATTATGGAGAAGGTTAATTGCTGAAAAATATGGTTTCAGCAACAATGGATGGGATGCAGGTGGCTCACTTTGTCTCATGGATGCAGTATTTGGAAAGGCATGTACAGGGTATACCCCCATTTCATCAAAGGTATTTCTTATAAAATTGAAAATGGAAGCAGGTTGAGGTTTTGGGTCGACCCATGGTGTGATGACATTCCATTAAAAGAAAGGTTCCTTTGTTTATTATGGCCGAAGATATTCAGGCTTCTGTTGCTGATTGCTTTGTACAGGAGGGCAACAGAATAGTTTGGTCTCCTGCTTTAGGAGAAATTTCAACGATTGGGAGTTGGACCAAGTGGTAGAACCCCTTTCTTTGTTTAGGAACCAGCACCCAAACTTGAGGACTCTAGATGCTGGAAGTGGGCAAATTCTGGTAGCTTCTCAGTTAGGTCCTGCTATTTGGGTCTCCTTGTAGATGTTCAGCAGCTGTTTCCCTTCAAGGCCATATGAAGAGTATCAGCTCCCTTAAAAGTCATTTTTTTCTTGGGTGGTTACCAAGGAGAAGTGCCTCACCAAAGAGATGTTGCTGAGAAGAGGGTAAAAAAGATAGAGAAAGTGATGAGGGATTTTCTTTGGGAGCCAGAGAGGGTAAAAAAGACCTTTTAATTAAGTGGGAGTTAGTGTGCAGAAGGGGGGTGGTTTGAGTCTTGGGAATGTGGTTAATAAGAATGTTACACTTTTAGGGAAATGGCTATGGAGATGGCCTTTGGAGAGGAGTGATTGTGGCATGAGATGGTGGCAAGCATTCGTGGTATTTCTGAGAGTGGTTGGGATGTTGGTGTATAATGTTAGGCTACGTTGTAAGTACCTTGGAAGGCTATTCATGGTATTCTTCCTTAATTTCTCCACATCACCAAGTGTGATGTGCGCTTAGGAAATTCTGTTTGCTTCTAGGAGGATGTTTGGGTTTGTAATGTTGCCCTTAAGGATCTTTATCCCTCTTTGTATAAAAAAGATTGTATCTTGCTTATTAAAAAAAGGGTTGCATTTTCATTCCTCACAGTTGTTTCTCCTACAGGTTTGAATTGGGATTTTGGTTATTGCAGAGGGTTGAGGGATGAGAAGTCTGCTTCAGTGGCTGGGCTTTTGTTTACTCTTGGTAATGTTTATTTGGAGCCCCCTAAGCCAGACAGAATATTTGGTTCCTCCGCCCTAAAGGTTTCTTTTCTTGTGGCTCCCTTTTTAAGTCCCTTTGTCAGCCCCAAAATCCTTAATGTTTCCCTATTAAGGAGGTGTGGAGTAGGCCTATCCCCCCTAAAATCAATGCGTTCTGTTGGGAAGTGTCCTATAGGAAAGTAAACACCTTGGAAATGTTACAAAAGAGAAGACCGTTTCTTTGTATCTCCCTGAACTGGTGTATACTTTGCAAATCTAATGGAGATGATTGTTACCACTTACTACTCTCTTGCCCTTTTGTTGCAGCTATTTGGGATTGGTTCTTTTATTTGTTTGGATGCAGGTGGAATCTGCCAACGGAGGTAAAACTTTTATTTTACTCATCAACCTTTGTTTGGCCCAAGAAAAGAGGAAGCGTAATGTGGTGGTGTACAAGAGTAGTGGTGATTTGGACCCTTTGGGAAGAAGAAATGCAAGAATCTTCTCATAGAAGGAGAGAAGTAGAGGGGAAGTTTGGAACTGTGTAATGACAAGGGTAATATATTGGCTAAAGACTTTGGGCACTTTCACCAATTCTCATTTGATGATATTTGGAGGAAATGGTCGGTGGTGGCTGGTGGCAAGCAACTCCTCTAAAAAGGACAGGTTAAGCTTTAATGGGAGTTGTCAAGGCAACCCATGCTCCTCTAGAATTGGAGGGGTTCTTAGAATTAAGGATGGCATTTTTTTTTACCTTATTCTTGGGTCTTGTTGGAGTAGGAGATTCAATAAGGGTTGAATTACTCCCTGCAGTACAAGGAATCCAAATTGCAAATGAGCTAAGAGTAGAAAATTTGGTTATTGAAGGTGATTCTAACTTTTAAGGTGGTGGTGGTGAGATGGCTGATGGATCCTGAGTCTATCTCTTGGTTCTACAGGAATGAAATCAAGAAGTTCAAGTGGTTAACAAGAAACATGAATGTGAGATTACAATGGGTGGGGATATCAGCTAATACTATGTCTGATTACTTAGACAAGCAAGGGGCGGAAAGGGATAAGCTGTATTGGGCTCAATTGTGATTTTTTTTCTTCAGTTGTGATTTATTTTTCTGTCTCTTTATTTTCCTATTTAGGAGAGGTTGCAGCTCACGCCTCTCAAAGAGCTGTTTATAATGCTTGATTCTATTGATATTAATAAATTCCTACTTTAACTATAAAAAAGCAACTTTGTAGGGCATAAGTAATTCTAGGAACTCTTTGTAAATAAAGCTTGGGATTTTTGCATCCTAAATAATGATTTGACTGAGAGGATCCTACTTCAATTTTTATTAGTAAGTGTAAACTTTATTAATGATGATAAAAGAATGAGTTGCAAGTAGATATGTCAAGCATGAGCATCCCTCAATCTATGCTATCATCTGCCTCCTAACTGTTTGCATTACTTGTTCTTACAACCCCCCCCCCCCCCCTCCCCAGAACAATTGATCCCTAGCTTGGGCAAAGCATTCGCCAAGAAGTTAGCTGCTCTTGGAACATAAGATGAGTTGTTGAAAGCTGAAATAGGTGTAGTACTGCAAAGGCTGAAAATGGCCATGGCACTTGGAAACTTATTGATGGAAGAGCTAGGTTCAATAGGCCAAGGTGATTTGTTGAAAGCTGGATGGTACTACAAGAGCTGAATATGGCCAAAGCGCTTAACTTGGAAAACTTTTATTGATGAAGGGAGGTTGATGGTGGGATGGATGAAGAACAACATGGAGGGAACATAGAATTACAGATGTGTAATGAGGGAGACTAGACAACTAGCAAATGGTTTGGCCAATGGTCTAGTGAAGGATCAACAGGGCAGAACTGTATTGTGCTTAGTTGTAATCTGGTTTGTTTAAAACAAAGTAAATGGGTTACGGGTGTGGACAGCCTGCTCTTAAGGGGTACTGAGTACATTATAAATATCTAATTCTTTTACTACATATTAATTAACTCTTTCAGTTATCCATATAAAATAATAAGTTGCTGGCCAGTTTCTTGCTAAGCTTCAGATTTCCTTCATGATGTATCCATCGTGCCACAATTCATCACCGTCAAAAATGGGATGGAAAAGTTTCTCCAATCTAGATGGAGTACTTTTTTCTTTGATTCAGAAGATAGTTTGATCTGTTATGATCAAGATTACCAGGGGAGGAAAAGAGGAAGAAGGTTCAAGGGAAAGGTAGTGTGTTAAAAGGAGGATCTATGAGGGTAGTTGAAAGGGTTGAGGGAACTCTGGAGTTTGTTTGCAACCAGGAGGATGTTGGTAAAGTTGAAGAGAGTAGTGCGGCAGGATACTGGGAGGACATTTCAAAAACTAAAGTGGTTGTTGGCAGGTTGGGAGTCAATCTGGGTCGGAAAAAGGAGTGTGATTTCAGATGGCTACACGGGTGAGTTAGTGCCGAAGAAAGATTGAGCTGCAAATAATTTCCAAATAGTGCATGTTACAAAAATCTACTAGAAAAAGGGAAGGAACAGTGGGAAGTGGGAACAAAATTCAGGTTCTGATCAAACATCAAAGAGACAGTTGAGGTTTGGAAGAAAAGAAACCTGGTGAGGCTATTCTAGTCACCAAAAGGGAAGTTTTGTAGAAATCTGAGAGTTTTGCTGCTAGAGATGTCAAAGTTGGCAAGAATTTAGGTTTGTTCTTTTGGGGGAGGTGTGGAGTTTGCTAAATGTACATTTGAAGCTTTTGAAAGGAGTAACGACTAATGAGGAGAGGCTAAAGAAGTTCGTAATAGGGGAAGGAGAAGAGGCATGGAATGAGGAAGAAGACGGTCAGGAAGAAGCTTTTTGAAGTAGAAGATTAATTGTTGGGGAGAAAATGAACCAAATTTTTCTTAGCAGAAAATGAACCATGACTAAAATCATAAAACCAACCCTTTTATATAAACAAGTTAAAAAAGTTTAGGTTTGGGGGGGGGGGTCCCAAAACCCCTCATGGGATATTTATATGCTTGGAATTCCACTATACTCGCAATGTCCATTTTTTATGGGTGTAGTTCTAACTGCATATTACAAGTTTTGTCTTATTGATTCACACATTGTAGTTTCATGACCTATTATTTATATTTGATTGCATTTTTGCTTCTCTTCATCCTAACTAAATGTTCCCAAGGTTTAGTTTGAATTGTTCAAGGACAGACGCAATTGCAACTGCAACTTGTTAGCATACTTAACAGTACAATCTACCTGTTGTAAAACTTTGTCTTAACCTATTTTAAATAAAATTCTTTTTTACTGATAAAAAACATACTTGACAGTACAAAATACCACACATTTTGCAGGTGTACAAAGCAAGACGTGTTGCAACAATGAAGATGATGGATGATGGGTTTGAGGAGCAGGAAAAAGCACGTAAAGCCCAAAAGCTGAAGACATTAGCTGAGAAAGGGTTATTGAAGAAAAGGAATAGGAAGAGAAAAAGGGAAAAATCTGCCAAAAGAAAGGAGTAAAAATTGGAAATTCCAGGATTAAATGAATTGCAAGATCAAGGATATTGAATGAAGAGGTAAATTTTAACCTATGAAAGAGCTTATGGGACCGCCTATAGGAGGTGAAGTTAAGCTCTGAGCCGAAGTTAACAGGAGCTATAGGATGAAAATCCTCTCGTATAGAAAGAAGTCTTCAATGCAAGACACCAAATCTATGGCAACTGTAAAGTAATGGTGAACCCTAAGCCATGATTGGATTTTTTTTTTGGGGTTGTGGCTTTGTTGGAGGGACCATGTATTTGATTCGTTGATTCTTCATGCATAAGTCTGCTGATTGTCTGCAGTCAATCAGATTATCAAGCTATTGATAAATATCTGTACATCTTGAGCTGGACATGGTCCCTATGGAGATTGAAGATCAGATAATTTGACTCTAAGACAGCAGAGTTGAGACAAGTTTATTTCACATGGACCTGTAATTGGATCGGGTGTGGGTTGAATTGAACTACAATCGACCCATTCAACCATCAACCCTTTTTACCACCTATTTGCGTATAGCCTAAATGGGTGCGATCCACTTCACTCACACTTAACCTAAATGGGTGGGGGTGGATTACGTGGATTGGGTCATAAGTTGGAATTGCTACCTTCACAATAGCTCTATTGATAATTTGATGCATCCTGTGTAATCTCAGCCGGCAAATTACTTGCTATCCAAACGGTTGGTGGCAAACTGAAATTTGAAGCACAGCCGTAGTAATGGGTAAGCCGAAGTAAGGTTCATTTACTAAAACACTCCCTATAATTTCATGTATTTATTAAAGGGTCAAAGACTTAAACCCCCATCGACTTCTCTCTTAAATACTGAAACTTTCATTCCTTCAAATTGGATTAAAACCTCCCTTGTCTGGTGTCGTCATCAAACAAATAGCTCCCCTCCAATAACCATCCATTCAGATCATTTTTACATGACCATAAGTGCCATTGAAACTTTAAAGAAAAACCCACTTTTACCCTTTTTGTGATCCTTTGCCATTACTCTTATTTGCTTGTGAAAATTTCAAACCGCATGGAACAGAATGAAAAACCAAAGAACGCCATTAGTGGAACAAAAGCCAAGTAGCCAACCGAACAGATGATCGATGACCATTGGTAGTAGTAGACTTATGTTGGGAACTTCATGATGGTAATTTGGTGAACCTGGTGAAGGTTGATTTGATGGCAGTGAGCACTTTAACAGCAAAGCTTGAAAGTGGTGCCTGTGAACAACATCAGTTGACTCAGGTCTGTATCAGTGGAAATTTGGAGTACCATTGGTGGTCTGTTGCAGCCTTGCAGGTAGGGTAGAGGTAGAGCAATCGAAAGATGATATATTAAGGTTTAGTTGCCTTGAATGGTTTTTGTGAGGTTGTGTTTTAATTTATGGGTATATTTCACTTTTTCAACTCGTTTGTTACATATAACGGTTGATGTATTTTTAGGGGGAGGTCTTGGTTCAAGTTAAAAAAAAGGGAGGTTTCAGTATTTACATTAAATTTTAAGGGAGGCTTGAGTTTTTTACCCTTTATTAAAGGGATTCTAGCGGATAAAGGGCAACTTTTGATATAATGACCAGAACAGTTTGCCTCTAACCTACAGTTTATGTTTTATTAAAATACCTCTATATTTTGCAATCAATTTATCTATTGACCTTTCATTAGATGGCAGGGGAAAATGATGGTTTTGACCCTATTGTCCATTTAATTTAATCAAAAGATAATAAAAATGATGATCATTTTTGGCCCCTAATAAAAATGACAATATCATTTTTTGTCCATTTGAATAAACAATCATGATACCATGTTCTTGAACATTGTCTACTCAGTGTAGGTGATCATGCTATTATTTTCTTAGTGAAAGGTTTTTTTTTTTTTGGTAAAATTAGTGAAAGGTTGATTAAGTAAAGAGGTTGTAAACTATAGGGGTGTATTGGTAAAGAAAAATTATAGAGTATTTTTAAGTAAATCCATGAAACTATTGTGTGTTTTGGTAAAACAAAGCTATGGGTTAGGTTTAAGTAAATCCATAAAACTATGGGGGCCGTCCTAATAAATGACCCCTAAATAAATAGAGTATGGGTCTCCTGCCTTCGAGAACTCTGCCCACGTTTATCGCAGCCACACATGGAGAACATCTCATCCTCTGCATAGTATTATGCAGGAGTAGGGGTGAGCATTCGGTTTTTTCGGTTCAAAACCAAAATTCTAAAAACCGATTTAGTTATATGATAAACTGAACCGAAACCGAAATATTTGAAAACCAAAAAAACCAAACCAATTTTTTTTCGGTTATTTCAGCTAGAACTGAAATATTTTTGTTTTGTGGTGAACTGGAGCTTGGAGCCTCAAGCCTGGAGCTAGAGGAAGATGCATTGATGCAGCGGCAGCCAGAGCAAGTCTTTTGTCAGCAGCAGAACCTGGAGCCTGGAGCAAGTCAGTCTGGCGCCTGGCGATGAAGATGGAGAACTGAAGAAGAACGACGACAACAATTCACCACTGGAAGACCAGAAGAGTGCAACGAAAGTCGGAAGTCTGAGTCTGCGACAGTTGGAAGTCTGCCTGAGTGTAGACTACAGAGTGCTTGGGGCTGGGACTGGGAGGACTCTTGACTCTGGAGTCTGGTCTCTGTCTCTGCTCTAGACTTATGGAGTCTAGAACTGGAACTCTAGAAGTGCCAAAGCGTAGCGGGCTGTGCATTGTGGAACTGGAACTCTGGAAGCGCCGAAGCGTAGCGGACTGTGCACTATGGAATTGGAACTCGGGAAGCGTCGAAGCATAGTGGACTGTGCACTGTGGAACAGACGACAAATAGTGGAAGGATCTAAAGGAAGATGAAGAGTTTTCCTATTTTGAGTGTTTTCCACTTTTCGTGTGTAATACACAAATTAGTCAAACTTTTACTTTATTACTCATTATGATTATGGGTTGGAAATTGGAATTGGATGTTCGTGTTCAATCTTCGATGTATAAAGTATAATTATTAATTAATTAATTAAATATTAATATAAAATTATAAATAATATTAAAAAATATAACTATAAAACTAAATCGGTTTTTTCAGTTAACTGATTTAACAAATTTGTTAACCGAAAATGAAACTCATAATATACAAAAACCGAATAACAAAACCAAATCTGACCGAAAAACCGATTAGACCAAACCGATAAAACCTAATGGTGCGTGATCTGGCTACTCCTAGCTGGAAGGCGATCCGAACTCCAATTGGACGGCGAGCTAGACCAATATGCAAAATAGTGGATTAGAGAACCCAGGGTAGCTAACCCGATAAGGTCACTTCGATGCTTAAGTCAGTACTTATGCTGTGAATGCGAGCTGAATGCTTGAGAGCTTGAGTGCTAGTGAGTAGAATAATCACGCGTACCTTTGCCTTGAGGTTTCATGTTTTTATATATCGGAGTAGTCGTGGGCCTTACGAAAGATCTCCGAGATCTCCGGGCTGTGTAGATAAGGTTTGTTCCATTTTTTAAGGAGAGCAGTATGTTGATAAGGTTTATCGTTTACCTCCGATTCAAGTGGTGCCAGGACAAGTTCTCATCGTGATCTCGAGAAATTTAGGATCCGTTGGGGAGACCTTTGGAGTCGGTTATATGACATTTTTGGCTCATTAGCTCTGAGCTGGCACTTCGATTCTTTATTCCCGAACTGTATTGGGTGTCGAGGTGTCTCTACGCCGAGGTGGTTTTTTAGGATGAGGTAGCTGGATACTCGAGCTCTAGATGTTGTGAACTGGGTCCACTTGGCTGAGTTGTCACTCCTCGATCAGATCGCACCTACGTATCCCCTTCTTACTAGGTCGTGCCAAATCACCCTTCATCAATTGCCCCTCACTCCTCGTGCCAGGGGTCCTAACCCAATGCGGGGAGTTCATGGTGAGTCCAGGTGGATTTGGCATGAAGTCTAGACGACTTGAAGGGTGAATCGTTGGTCGGGCCTGTTCAACCACCAAGCTCAACCATGAAATGACCTAGGTCACATCTCAATCACGCGCGGATGTCACATTGTTTATAAACTCTGCGGATGTCAAAATACGTGCTAAATTGATTTCAACCTCGGGGGGTGTGCAATCGATTTCTCTAGGAACCGTCGGATCGTGTTGATGTTGAACGTTGATTCCCGGATATACTGGCTATAAATAGGGGCCAAAGGGCCCATTTTCTTTGCCACAAGTCCGCAAATCCGCAATCTTTGAGGTCGCACTCAAGTCTTCTAGTTTGGTATCTGCCTTTTCTAGGTCCGAGGTCACCTCTTTTACTTCGGTCTTCCTTTTTGGTGAGTCCACCTTCCTTTTCTTTTTCCTTTTGATTTCGTTGTCCTTTCCTTTAATATGTCTAGCCTTAGCGTAGATAGCTTTTTAGACAGGAGCGGCGAGTCCGCTAAGGCCAATGTGGGTACCTCGGCTCAGACCGTAGTTCCTCGTCCTACCGACTGAGGACGCGGTCCTCAATCCGCCTGGGGTGAACTCACCTCGGCGAGAGCGAGAGGCCTCTGGTAACTTGGCTTCCACCACACACCAAGGTCGGCTGCCAAACAACTTCGGCCCATCGATAATGACGGCAGACAGGATCCTAGCCTTGGTAACCCGGTACAGACTCCCTAACAACCTTGTATATAGCATCCCCTTAGGCAACTTTCCTTGGGATCATGATCACAACGATATCGTGATTTTCGAGGAGCAGCTCGTAGCCGGTCTTCATCTTCCACTTAACCCTCTTATAATCGAGATCGTTAAATTCTTTAACATTACCATAGACCAGCTACACCCAAACTCTATCCGTAATATCGTTGGGACCATTTCACTTTTCCACAACTACAACCATCCCCTTGACCTCGATGTCTTCTCTTCGATCCTTTCCATTAAGAAAAATCCGTCCCGCGTTCTGCCCGAGCATAGGCGAACTTACTACTTGTCACCTCGTCCTGGATACAAAATGTTGCACAAGCTTCCTAATAAGGTCCCGACCTAGAAGAGGCGTTACTTCGTGGTCTGCAACACCGAGGGGTGACCCTTCCCGACTCATTAGAGGGCAGCCATCCAGGACCCCGATGTTAGACTGGACCTGAAGACAAGGGAGGAGGTCCGATCTTGGGTAGAGCTCGGCCTGAAGTTCGAATACTTCATGACCGAAGAGAAGCTCGTGCATGCCGGCCTAAGTCCTCCTAGTAGGTCGCTATTTGCTGTACTTTTTCTATTCGCTTTACTTTGGTACTGTATCTGACTTAGCTCATTTTTATCGCAGCTACCATGGACAACATCCCTATCGATGAGCTCTTCGGGAGCATGAAGAAGGGGAAGAAAAAGAAGAGAGCCTCCAAAAAGGCTCACGTCGAGAGTGAAGTAGCCACAACTGAGGCTGCCATTCCTAAGCTCGAGCATCCACCAATTGCTTAGTAGTCTCCCGTAATCGATCTGGTTGAGGAGGATTCGGGCAAGGCCACCCCACCCCGCATGCCCGAGGAGGCTACATCTTCAAAGCCCATCCCAACAACCACCACTTCTTCGGGCACAGATGCTCCAGTTCAGAGCATTTTGACTTCAAAGTTCGGCCTTCTCAAGAGCAAGGATGCGGTGTTCACTGAAGAGGTTGCTCGTTGGGCCGACTTGCTAGTTGACCAGCTCGGG